CGAAACATTGTATTCCAGGAACCTTATGCTGTACTTCTGGGGAGCATTGGGCCCCTGTTTGACAAAGGAACAAACGAAAGGCGTATGAACTGAGCAATCAGTCACCGGCTCCCAATGGGCGCGATTCCCTGAATTCGCTCCGCTGCCTTGCGGACAGGCTATTCAGCCAAAGACTCGGGGTGGTGTCCCCTAAGTCAACACCCTACTTTGGCTTCGGCAACTGGGTAGGATCTCGCCCTCTGAGGAAACCATGGACATTGTTGTGTTGTGTTTTATTTTACTGTTTCTGTGCCTTCGTTTGAATCTCATGGTTTATGATGGCATTATGTCTGTTAGCAGACTTTTGCGTATATATATATATATATATAGTCAACATACTTTGTGCGCAATTCATCGAAGCATCAGCCTTACTTCCATTACCTCCAGACTTCTCACGGCTATCATTCTTCGACGACTCAATGGTCCCCTTGAGGACCTAAACACTGAATGCCAGGCTGGCTTCTGCTTTGGTCGGGGTTGCATCGACCACATATTTACTATTCACTAGGTTTTAGTGCAGCGAAACATACAAATGATGATTTTCCTTGACTTCAAAACCGCCTTCGACTTTGATGATCGAGACTGCCTATCAATGAAGAGCGTACTAGCTAAATTCCTTTCGATTCTCAAGTCACGCTACCGTGACTCCCTAGGCAGTTTAAGGGTCCACGGTAAACTGCCTACTTCGTTCCTCCTCAACTTTGTGATCGAAATGATCATGAGTGACTCGGTTCTTTCACACTCTACCGGAGTGGAACTTATACAAGGTGACTGACTGACAAACCTGGAGTGTGTGGATAACATAGTCCTGCTTGGGTCTGATGCATTGGCCATGCAAATGCTACTGCACAGACTTGTGCGTAGTGCTACACGCTTCGGCATCTACTTTGCGCCCTCAAAGTGTACGATACTGCTGCAGAACTGAGCCGACACACTGGTTCTAGCTATCACCGAACACGCACTGGACGTTGTGGATCGGCTCACTTATCTCAGTAGCTGTGTCACCTCTAATGGTCACATCACTGAAGAGGTTATCTCGCGTATCAGCAAGGCCCGTGTGGCTTTCCAGAGACAATCATCTATGTAGACGGTGGGATATCAGCCTGCCAGTGTAAGGTAGGGTGTATAACGCTGCGGTAAGGTTGGTGTTACTCTATGGGTCAGATCTGGAGTAAGGATGTTAAACGCTTGACCGTGTTTGATCTCCGGCGCTTGGGAAATATTAAGCAATGCTGAGGTCCGTGAGCTAGTTTTTGGCAAGTAGCCTTCTGTTGTCTCTTTTGCGTGTCTGCTAAATCTTAGTTCTTTACGTTGACTACTCCATTTTCTCCGTATGCCTGTTGACCGGCTTCCTCGGCGTGCATTGTACGCCGTAGCTGCACCAAGATGTGTGAAATCGCGAGGTGGTCAGTCCATGATGTGGCATAAAGTCTTGAATAAATTGACTTGGTCAAGCGGTTGCGTTCCCTCATCCTGAACGGTGGATTCGGGATTATCAACTCCAATTGTTGGGAATCTTGTTACACAGGGCGCAGTTATCAAGTCAGTGTCGCTCCTCCATTTAGTTACTTTCATCTGGTCGTTTATTCTCTTTCCATTCTGATTATTCTAACGCATTTCCTTCATGCTTCCATTTCCTCTACATTCTATTTGCATCCAACCCCACTATCCTACCATTGTTATTCATTGTTTTTCTTATGGTATGAGTCATGGCAACTAGATTCACCGTGCTTTGGTGCTCGAATCATAATTGTTCCTGTGAATTGAACTTTACTGAACTACTTGAGCTATTCTTCTGGTTTTCCAACAATTTTCCAGTTAACACACAGCGACAACTATCACACCAACTTAGATCTCACTTTACATCACCCGTCACAGTGTTCATCCCGTTGCCTTAAAGAAAATGAGGTAACATATGTTCTCACTATGGTTTGGATGCACCTAGAGATACTGATGCAGCAGCCTATGATCAACCTGATTTGAACCTGGCCCTAAGCTCCAGGGCCTAGTTATTTGTTGCTTGAATTTCCACAAATAGCTGTTGCTGCTGTGCATTCTGTTCCGCACTGCCGATTAAGGATACCTCATTTAGAATGACTATATGATTCTTTATTTTGGTTTCCGCGTATGTTCCCGTTAGCTGTAATGCTGATGCTATCAGAGACCCGTTTCAGCACTACCTTAACTCATTCTTCCATAGTTAAGCCAACTCACCTATACTTCAGCTTGTTTTGGCAGTTGCTATGCTGGTTGTTTTAATTATCTGTATTGTCATGTGACATGCTCGGGCGTAGCCCCAATGACGGCTAATAACTATCGTTCATTACACTCTCCGCCAAGCCTGGGCTGTTTCTAAGACCTATTGGCTTCGGTTGTGACGGATTCTTGATGTCCCCAGCTATCTGGAAAACTGTCCATCCACTTGAATCACATCATAATTTGCTTCCGGGGCGAAGTTTCATCCTTTATTACTGTTTATCTTCAAACATGTGCATCGACTCCGATCATTTCTTTGTCTATTGTTGGTTTCCCTGTTTCCTATTGTGAAACATGGCAGTTGACCTCATCGATCGGTGACCGATAAGCTAGTTTAACCCACACTTGAACAAATCTACTAGGGCTGGTTGCAGACCGGGTCTTTGGTTCCTCACTTGAAGATCATTGCTTTTCAGTGTACCATAACTTCAAACTTCATGAGCGATTCATGACCTGATTTCGACGGTCACCTGTCACAATTTTATTGGTTGGTATTCCACGTTGGACTCAAAAAGAATCTTTTCTTTCACGGAAAATAGCACAACTAGATAGGCCGTCAAGCGAGAACATAACTGCAGCTTTGTTGCAGACAGCATTGCCTGGCTACATCGGCGTATCCAGGATATGGAGAGACCAAGAGCGGTTGGTAATTTTTGTAGACTCCTCCAAATAATCTGCTTCTCTTCTTGGAAAATGCTCCACCATTGAAGCAATCATGAAGATCATCGGCGACCTGTTCCACTGTACGAGACGTCTTTTGTTTTTGATATGATCGCTTTTGAGGACAGCGCTAGATGACGCCGGTTGAATTGTATCCTGTTAGTATAGAGACACAATCAGGACCATCAAGCATTTTACGCTACCGGCCTGGATTTGTTTACTGGTTCGGGACGATGACCAGATCCTCTAAACCATGAATCCATCTGTTATAGCAGGCATATAAATGGATTGTTTCATTCAGTCTACTAGAGGAAGTCATTGTGACAGATTTCAGGAAGGGCAGTAACAATTTACGCGCCAGCAGTAACTTTGTATTAGTAGTACCAAAGTAGCCGATCACTATCATAGACTGCCACCTCATCGTGGAATGAGAATCCTTCGTGAGAGCTCAGACAGATTTTCCTATTTTCACTCTGTGACTGTTACTGGAGTATCGTCATCCGTTCCAGCATTATTCCACTTGATTTAGTTTCTCACTCTGTTCTGTTCCGTATAGCCACCAAAACAAATGCTCCCGTGTTGTCCGTGAACCTTTCACTTTCTCCGCACTTATACATTTCGCTTCGTCGCTCACAGCGGGGTTATTACTTGCCCTTTCCATAACGAACTACTTCCGATAACTGAAAAGTTCTTATTTCCTGACTTTTGTTGTGGACTCCATCATGATGTGCATCCCCTCACAATGTAGGTGTTGAAGTCCCACTGGTTCCAAGTTGGGCCAATAACATATCCTGTCAATTTGACAATCGCTAGGCAACAGTCACTTCTAACCTAACCGTAGTGGATAGTCCTATCTTTGGAAATTTTCAGGAATGCTGCAGGTCTACTAACTTATGTCTCACTTTTCTGCGTTCAACCACGATGATGGGAGGATGGTTGATTTGCTTTTTCTCTTGGCGGCCGCACTAGAAATCACGGGCGTGACACCACCGAAATCAGCCCGTAGGCTACAGGAGTCACAATTGTTCCTATAAAACTACATCTACTTAGGTGTCAGGTGGAACTCTGATAGGTCGTGTACGCCGTTCACAATTGAAGAAAGTTCCCTATGATAATGAGGCTTGGGTCCTTCATTTATTGGACTTTAAGCATCTCAGCTCGTTTCCATTTTTTATCTGCAGAGCAGTACTCTTGTCGAGTGAAACCAGCATGTCCTCAACTATAATGTAAGTAGGCAAACATCAAGTAGCAGTGATCCATTTAGGTTCAATACGTTGTATTAGTTCTGGTGCGTTTTACTAATTCCCTCTTGTCGCTTACCGAGAAGCGCTTTTGCTACACTCATTGTTAGGTTGTTCGGCTTGAGACATCGAAGGATATGGGCTAAAACCGGCGCCATCTTCAGGCCTTGCTACCTTCCCATAGCAGAGCTGGCTTTTTAAAGTGTGTTCTGTGCTCGCAAAGACCAACAATGAAGCAGAGCATTGAAAGCTTCATGGAATCTAGCTGACGCCAGCTTATCTGCACACAATAACTTTTTTTTGCTGGCATGCAGTGTTTGCCAGATGTGTACACCTTTACCCCCAAAACTCAGTGGATTTCGACTCTGCGTTAAGTTCCAGTTGTCCATCTTATGACTACCGATCTTTTTATCCCCCTATTGATTTGTGGTTTTCTGGCAGTAAATTGCGCGTACCAAATAATGATGTGCTGTTCTCGCTTATTTGGTGGATCGGACAACTGGATGATTGGTACCAATTTCTCACATCTCGACCTAATCGGACATCTAGTTCTTTCTTCATTCTGATACTTGATGAGTCTCAACATTTACTGTACTTTTTTCCTGATGTTTTGTCAGGATTCCCTAGTCCTTCAGATTTTCCGTGTTGTGATCAATCCGGTGGTATTTTTTGTTCACCAATATCCGATTTTCTCCCACCATCGTAAAACCTTGGTCACATTTTCCGTATTTCACATTGTGTTATGTTTGAGTAGTTTAGTTTTGTAGTCTTCATCGTCCGCAAATAAAATTACCTTTGTCTCAGGATATTGGCAAAATGGGACCAAGCTACGATCGCTTCCGTGCTCTCACAAGCCAACTTCGTACGAATATCACAAAACTGGGACTGCCTAGCGCCAATACCACGAACCAGACCTCCAATGAGTCCACAGACTTGATCCCCTCTGAATGCACTGGCGAGCAGGACGCTGCCGGTGATACTGTTGGATGGAGGAAGCGCAAATCCCCTGGAAGCGGAGTCTCCACTACCGGATCAACTGGAATCAATAGTTCGTTGGCTGCACATGGATCAACTAATGGTGCCTCGTCCGGTATTGGGGCTCATCACACAGCAGGTGGCCTGGTTGGTTCTAATGGTGCTGTAGGACCAGATACAGCTGAATTTCCCGCAAGACCAGCTCCTGGCAGATTGTCTGGGACAGGTACCTCCGCTCCCAATGGGTCGGTGGGTGGAAGTCTGGTTCGGTCCACCCGCCGTGCCGGAGCAGCGGGATTGTGTGGAGCTGCGGCTGTCAGCGGCGGTCCCGCCTCCGCACCAGACGAAGGAAGGACAAAGCTAAACGCTCTTGGGTTCCCTGTGGACCATCCCTTTAACAAAGAAGGATACAGGTAAAAATATATTCGCACCGCTGTGTCGGGGCAAATACAAAACTTCAATATCTAAACTAATGTTTGATATCACCGTATCCAAATGCTTTATTTGACATGTAAATGATGTCTATGGGCTTATGACGGTCCATAGCAATGTTCCTTACCTCGTTGCCCATATCTGATGGAACTACTCATCATCAATTTGAGTAAGATTGAGAGATGTGACAGTGTAGGTTAGAATGATAGATGGAGCTAATTTTCCCAATAAACAGAAGAGAATAAACTCAGTTAGAGTCAGTTTGACGTACGTTTTGCGGACATACTTTTCTCCTTATCATTAATCACACTTTCGGATCGTTAGTCCCGCGAGTGCGTATATATTATCTGGTCCATTCTCAACACTTCTGCTAACGCAAAACAGCTGTTTACTATTTCTGACGCTTAACTACTCCTTTGGCTTCATCTTGAATGTCCGAATCCAAGAAGAGCCTTTGATAGCCGGAGGTATTTGATTCCACAACTCGGGGTACCTAAACGTAAAAATGTTGCGCATTGAAGCTGAATCTTACCGTGATGCGATGGTTTACGTGCCTCAGCGATACCTTGAACTATGCTGGATTTTGCTTTTTGCACCTTTAGGGCCACTCATACCAGATGGGTCAATGATTAGAAGCCAGGCAAACTCAGTACCCTAATAATCCAGATTAGGGTCTGGATTGAGGTGGCTCCTTATCTTTTATAATGAACTCAGTGTAGCCCAGTTCCGAAACCCTGCTGCCTTGCAGTCAGCTTTTTGAACCAAAGGGTTTGGTTAAGTACCTTAATCCTTCTCTTATCTAGACCTGGGCAACCTGACAACATCCTGCTCCCGCAATACAATGAATTACTCTTCTAACGATTTCCTGATGCTCAGGTCGTCACAAAGAATATTCAACAACGCATTATCTGCTGCATCGAGCAGGGTAGGTAGATGTTTAGATGCTACTGCTCAAGTCTTCCCTTCTTCTTATTCCTCCTTTTACTCCTCTCCACCCTTATCGTCCCGTTCCAACTTCACTTTTACCCCCCCCCCCCATTTTCAATCCCTCGGTTCCTAGCCCTCCGTCACCATGCTTTGATAGGTGTTTATCTTCTAGTTTCAACTCACATGCAAACAAGGGGCGTCACTTCTGTCGGCAAGCCCACGTCTAACCAAGCGGTCAAACCAAGTCCATCGGCTTATATATATATATATATATATATATATATATATAATCCAAATATAAGCCGACGAACTTGCTTTGACATCATAAAGACTCAAAAACTGTGAGTGGGAATATGAACAAAATTGTTTCTTTTCCTTCTTTCTTTATCTAATCCTGTTTTCCTATTCCGCCATGGTTCCAATGGCGCAATATCTGTGCACAGATCGTGCTATATATATATATATATATATATATATATATATATATATATATAGAGAGAGAGAGAGAGAGAGAGAGAGAGAGAGAGAGAAATAATTCCCGGGGATGACATAAGAAACAGAAAGTAGCGAACAAGCTTGTTTTCAGGGCTTCATCATCAGGCTAATATAACCACAATAAAGCAAGTTAGAATAGACACGATGGGTTTAAATTGGGTCACTGAAGCGGAGTAACTAATCGATAAGTCTACGTGTTTGGTCTGATTGGTCAAGTGAAGTGGCGTGACTGCCATTGTTAGTCACGTTGATCTGAGGCCAACGCAAGGTTAAAGTATGGACGAGCTTTTTCTGTGCACATAGGTCCGGGTTGTAGAGCCGAATTGCGATCGCCTCTGCTGTCGACAGCAGGCGACATCTGACTGCCCGTGTGTAACGTCCGGGGACACAGTATACCATTTTACACGCATGTTAGTGCATTTTACCAAGCTTTTAGAGTGGTGCATTTTCGAAATCGCGTGACGCACTTTCAAGTTAGCGATGCCAAGAAAGCTGATTTGGCGTCCTTGACACCCTCATTGGTCACGGGACATAAACCAATGGGAAATCGGTTAGAAGCCGCCAGCATAAGCGACAGACAGTCCAATGAAAGTGGTCGAGCACCACCTTCTGTTCTGCCTTGATGCCTACCTGAAGGAAACCTCGCTAACTGGAAAGTACGTCAAGCGATTTCGCAAATGCACCACGCTAAAAGCTTGGTACAATACACTAACATGCGTGTAAAATGGTATAGATCGGTGTGAATGCGTCACGCGATTCGATTTGATGACCGAAGTCAACTAGGTGCGACAATACTGCACTCGTTACATTCTTCTTCGCGCCGCTGTAGAGCCAAGCTGGGCAATGCTCTCGAGCCCTAACGGACAGTCGCCTGGTCGTTTTCCCAATATACCTTGCTCGACACGAGCAAGAGAAGTTGTACACACAGAAGGAGGTCTGCGACCGAGGTATCCTGTCTTTAAGTTGTTGGCACACAAGCGGTGTTGAGGTGAAGCTTACGCGGAGATTAGCGGCAAAATACGTTCTTTCTGTTGCTAAGGAAAGTCTTCGATTCGCGTGACTCATTCACACCGATCTACTGTGTCCCCGGACGTTACACACGGGCAGTCAGAGGTCGCCTGCTGTCGACAGCAGAGGCGATCGCAATTCGGCTCTATAACCCAGACTTATGTGCACAGAAAAAGCTCGTCCATACTTTAACCTTGCGTTGGCCTCAGATCAACGTGACTAACAATGGCAGTCACGCCACTTCACTTGACCAATCAGACCAAACACGTAGACTTATCGATTAGTTACTCCGCTTCAGTGACCCAATTTAAACCCATCGTGTCTATTCTAACTTGCTTTATTGTGGTTATATTAGCCTGATGATGAAGCCCTGAAAACAAGCTTGTTCGCTACTTTCTGTTTCTGATGTCATCTCCGGGAATTATTTCTCAATATATATATATATATATATATATATATATATATATATATATATATCACGATCTGTGTACATATATGCCACCATCGGAACCGTGACGGAATAGGAAAACAGGGTTAGATTAAAACGTGAAAGAAAGCAAATAATTTGTGTCCATTTTCCCACTCACCATTTTTGAGTCTTTTTAATGTCTTTCTTTTGTTGGTCGACGGAAGCGGGATCACCGCAATATGCAGAGATACACGTCCGCCATTGGTTTCGGTTTTGACCCATGACTTCCAAAGTTTCCAACTAGCGACATTCGGTATCCTTTGGACCCCATCCATCGAGTCGAGAGAAACCAATCTTGGCCAGCTGTTTCATCAGCTTTTTCATCCTGCATCTCCAGGTTGTAGGTTATCCACTACAATGCCTTCTCCAACCCTATCAAGCGACCGCGAACAAGACACGACGCGGAAGTCGCTGAGTGGGCGTACACCATACCTGTCCGAGCCATCGTTGTTGGCACGGCGAGACAAGCGCCTCGAGGGAGTGGCTATCTCCACCCAAGACATGCTGTCTGACTTCTGGTTGATTAGGTGGTTCAGCCACCACACATGGGCGATGGACCGCAAGCAACGGTTCTCAAAGACAGACAGTCGACGTAGGTCATCGGTACGACCAGGCCAAGTCTCGCAACCGTACAACAGTACAGTGCCGACAGTAGCACTATAAACCCGTCATTTAATGAAGAGACAGATGTCATGGCGGCACCATAAATGCCTCAGCCTGAAGAAGGCGAGACGAGCTCTTGAGATGCGCATCGAAATCTCATTTTTAGCAGCCCCACCAGCAGTGATGCAGTTTCCAAGATAGACAAAACTCTGTACTACTTCGAAGGTTTCATCATCGATGGTGAGTGTACCTAGGGGCTTATGCCAGTCTTGAAAAACCGCTTGCACTTGGATGGTGAAAACTGCATGCCATACTTCGACTCTTCATTCGCCAGGCGGTTATGTGCAAGTTGGACGGTCTGCGCACCGTCTCCCAACCAGATGATATCATCAGCGTAACCCAACTCAACCACCTGACCACCTGGGCGGAGCTCAACGCTAGCGTTCAACAAGTCTTATAGTGTACTTTTGAGGACATCCTCAATGGCAAAATTGAAGAGGAATGAAGAGATAGGGCATCCTTGTCGAACCACATTGATGACAACAAAGAAGGGCGAAAGCTTGCCATAAGCCCCAAGTCTATTGGTGGTCAGACTGTACTGAGCTCGCAGTACGGAAACGAACTTCCCGGGAATGCCATTCCTCAACAGACAGTGTCACAATGTAGCCCTGTCGACAGAATCGAGGGCAGCACGAATATCCAGGAACACAACAATCCTTGGCTCTTGATATACATGGCGTAGGTCGAGAATCTAGCGAAGTGTGAAAATCTGATCGATGCAACCGCGACCAGGGCGGAACCCAGCCTGTTCTTCTCACTGTAATGATTCACGCGCTAACGATTATCTGCGACGAATAATGGACATCAGAATTTTGCAAACGACGGGAACCAAATTTACGCTCCTGTAGTTCGAGCACTTTGTGCGCACGCCCTTTTTTAAAGATGGGAACGACTATCGGCTCACTCCAGGATGATAGAACCACTTCTTTTGCTCAGACTTCTGAGAACAGATCGGGGCGAATAGTCCTCATCTTTTAATAGTGCAAGAGATAGACCATTAGGGCCGGGTGCCTTATAACGCTTTAGGCAGCAAAGTTCCCGCCAGATTTCCTGATGAGAGGAAGGATCAGTTGAGATAGCCCACTCATCACGAGTGCGCGCCCCAGGGAAAACAGATGGAGCTAGTGGCCAGGAAAATTACGAGAGAAAATGTTCGGCCCATCGCCCCAACCGTCGTTGAAGATTAGTGATTAGGGAACCATCATCTTCGCAAATTTTTTCGCTTACTGATCGGAAGCCTTCGGTGACTCGGATGAGGTGGAACAGCTTTTTGGTATTACCAGAGAGATTAGCAAGTTACATCACTCTAGCACGTTCACACCAGCAGGTCTCACAGTCCTTCATAGACATAGATGTAGTTAAGGAGCGCGACGCAGGATGATCTGTGAGCCGATGTTGAGGAGGAGAGACAGGGTAGCC